TAAAAATCAGGACTCTAACTTCACATCCCACCTATCGTGGAAGTGCTTATTCTTCTAACCAACATTCAAACGTTCAACAACTAAAAGTAACAATAATGATAACAAATCCTATTCTACTGGCAAGCAGCTCCAACGGGTCCAACCTTGTGGACTACTCACGTGTGTAACGTGGATTTGGGTGATGGGCTCGGGCCGAACGTCGTGGGCCTGGCTCGGTGATGATTGGTGGTTCATCAATACCCCCGGTTGAACACTGGACTCGTCCTCGAGGCCAAGGTGGACAAATCGGTCGTTGAAAACCGAGGCGAGTTCCCAAGTGGCGTCCTCGACGGGAAGCTGCTGCCATTGGACTAGGAGTTCCTCGACCCAGCGATTGCCATGGCGGGTCCAGCGGGTGTCAAGGATAGCCCGCGGAAGGAGCAGGAGGTCGCCATCATCTCCGACTGGGGGTGCTAAGGTGGATGGAGCAGGGTGTGGCGAATGGCAGGGGCGAAGCAGCGAGACATGAAACACAGGATGGACACGGCTGCCGGGAGGAAGGGCTAAGCGATAGGCCACCGCACCGATGCGCGCTTCGATAATGTATGGGCCAAAGTAGCGGCAGGCTAGCTTTTGGGATGCACGGCGGCCAAAGTAGTAGACAGGGTCGCCCACCTGAAATTCAACATCGCGACGGCCGGCATCAGCATAATGCTTCATGCGATTGCGGGCAGCGGCGAGGTTGGTATGCAGATCGGTGAGGATGGCGTTCCTGTCGAGTAGGGCCTGTTCCACCTCATGCACAGGAGTTGACCCAAGGCGATAAAAGGGAACCGGCGGAGGCGCCCGCCCATAAACTGCCTGAAATGGGGTCATGCCCGTGGAACTGTGATACGTCGTGTTGTACCAAAATTCTGCCCAGGGCAAGAAGGATAGCCAACGCCGGGGATTCTGGCTAGCGAAACACCGTAGGTATTGCTCAAGGCAACGGTTGACGACCTCGGTCTGACCATCCGTCTGGGGGTGGTAGGAGGACGACATTTGCAGCTGGGTGCCGGAGAGCCGAAAGAGCTCGCGCCAAAAATTACTCGTGAAGGCACGATCGCGGTCGCTCACGATCGAACGGGGAGGCCCATGGAGCTTCAGGACGCCGTGGAGGAACACATCGGCCACCGATCGCGCGGTGTAGGGGTGAGACATCGGCATGAAGTGGGCTGCCTTGGTGAGGCGATCGACGACGACGAAGATCACCGTTTTGCCCCCAGACGACGGAAGACCGTCGATAAAATCCATTGAAACGTCTTGCCATACCTGCGATGGAATAGGGAGCGGTTGAAGGAGTCCGGTCGGGGCGAGAGACTGTGCCTTGGCCCGTTGACAGACATCGCACGCGCGAACGAAGCGCTGAACGTCTTCCAACATTCCGGGCCAATAGAATTGAGAGGACAGGCGCTTATGCGTGCGCTCCACGCCCGAGTGACCACCCATTGGTGTGGCGTGGAACTCGTGAAGTAGCTGCGCGATGTGGCCGGAGGTCGGAGGGACGACGATTTTGCCGCGGCGGAGCAGTAGGTCGTTGCGGATGGAGAAGGGGCCTAGCCGCGATGAATTTGCACGCCGCCGTGCTTGCATCATGTACGGGTGAGTAGCCGCCGTTTCTTTGATGGAGTCCCAAAGAGACGTGAAGGGAATGGAGATGGCCATTAATAGGGAATCGACCTGGCGCTGTCGACTAAGAGCATCGGCCGCTTTGTTCTCTGGGCCGGGTTTGTAGACAATGTCGAAGTCATAGCCCAACAACTTCGCGATCCATTGCTGCTGGTCGGGCGTGGTGATGCGCTGGCCCAATAGGTGGCGAATGCTCTTCTGATCAGTGCGTATAGTGAATTTGCGGCCCAACAAGTAGGGTCGCCAGGCCCGAACCGCTGTGATGACAGCCAACATTTCCTTCGCGTACGTGGAGAGGTTCTCCTTGGCCTTGCCGAGGCCGCGACTGAAATACGCGATGGGCCTGTCCCGTTGCATCAAAATTGCGCCAAGACCAGAACCCGAAGCGTCCGTCTCAACTATGAATGGAATGCTGAAATCCGGGAGAGCCAAGACAGGCGTGGTGGACATGACCTGTTTGAGAGCTTGGAATGCGGCGGCCGCTGCATCGCCCCATGCAAACTGGCCTCGTTTGAGGAGATTCGTAAGAGGCCGAGCGATGGTGCCGTAGTCTTTTACAAATTTGCGGTAGTAACCCGTTAACCCGAGGAATCCGCGGAGCTCGGTACTGTTCGTCGGCGTCAGCCAATCAACCATGGCGGCGATTTTCCTGTTGTCAACTCGTACCCCCTCGGCCGATATGAAATGGCCCAGATATTCAATGACGGCCAGCCCGAAAGCACATTTACTGAATTTGACAAAGAACTGGTGGTGGCGGAGGATTTGGAATACCTGCCGCACATGAGTTAGGTGACTCTCCTTGTCCGGACTGTAGATCAGGATATCGTCGAAGAATACCAGTACTGATTTGCGGAGTAGTGGTCGGAAAATCTCGTTCATAATGGCCTGAAATGTCGACGGTGCGTTGCACAGTCCGAACGGCATCACTAAATATTCATAGTGACCGTTATGGGTGCGAAAAGCAGTTTTCGGGATGTCTTCGGTGGCCATGCGAATCTGATGGTAACCAGCGCGCAAATCAAGTTTCGTGAAGCACGCTGCACCATGAAGTTCATCCAACATATCGTCGACGGTTGGAATTGGGAAGCGATCCTTAACGGTGACCAGATTCAGCGCTCGATAATCCGTACAGAACCGCCAGGTGCCGTCTTTCTTTTTGACCAACAGGACCGGAGAGGAGAAGGGACTGGTCGACGGCTGGATGAGACCTGTCGCAAGCATCTGGTTGACCTGAGTTTCTATTTCTGCTTTCTGGAAATGGGCGTAGCGGTACGGGCGTACATTCACTGCTTCTGCGCCGGCCTTTAATGTAATCTTGTGATCGATCGTGCGCTTGGGTGGTAGTTGTTGCGGCTCTTCAAAAATATCCCCAAACTCGTGAATAAGAGCTTGGAGCTCCGGGGGTACTGGCCGTAATGGATCGTCATAGTTGGCCGGCACACATAGGGCCATCATGGTATGTTCCTCCTTAATGAGGCATTCAAGGCTTGCGGCGGTCGGGGGAGCCCTTTGAATGCCCTGAATCTTCCGTAATTTGCCATCCCAGAAGAATTCCATCTCTAGGGATTTCCAATTGCTTTGAACGGTGCCGAGTGTGGCCAGCCAGTGTATACCCAAGACAATGTCAAACCCAAAAATGGGAATTGTATGGAGGTCCACTTTAAAATCGGTACCTTGGACCCGAAGAGGAACGTGCTCGAGCTTGCCCACACACTCCAAGGGCGTACCATCTGCGATTTTGACGTGAATGGCGGGGATGGAAGATACCGGCAGGTGCAGCAAGTCGGTGGCGCGGGTGCTGATGAAGTTATGCGTCGACCCGCTGTCGATGAGGACCATTAATGGGGCACCGTGGATCTCCGCCCATACCCGCATCGTGCGGCCGCTCGTCAACCCCGTGATCGCATGGAAAGACACCTCTGCTTCCTCTACTTCTTCCGCATCCTCGTCCTCCCACATCATCCACAATTTCCCTCCTTGACATCGATGAGTGGCGGAGTAAGGGGCGTCACAATTAAAACAGAGACCCAGTTGGCGGCGTCGGTGCATTTCTTCATGACTTAGTCGCTTTGACCCAGACGGTCGGGAGCGGTAGTTAGTCACCGCTGGTGGGGGAGGGTTCGGCACTCCCTCGTCGGACCGGAATGGCCGAGACCGAGGGCCGAAGGAGGTGTCAAACGTCGCACGTGGTTTGGGTCGTGGAGGCGTTGTGTAATCCAAAGCCGATCGGAATGGCTGGCGGGGCGGACTATGTTGGCGATTCAATTGTTCCTCGCGCGCCCGTGCAAGACTGATCGCGTCCTTGAGGGTCTTGGGGTCGAAGATCCGGATCCCATCGGCAATGGCGGGTTTGAGACCGCCGAGGAAAGTCCCTACGAGCGCTTGCTGAGTCCAGCCGCGGACCCGGTTACCTAACCGTTCAAACTCGGTGAGGTAGTCTTTCAGGGACCCCGTTTGGCGGATCCGGGAAAGCGCCTCATCGAAACCAGTGCCTGCTGTGCCGCCAAATCGCGACCAGAGCTCAGACGAGAAAACATCCCAGGTGATGGTGAGTTCCTCCGCTTGATAAGTCCTCCGTAACCATTGCCACCATTGATTTGCGTCACCCTCTAAATGATAGGACGCCAGCTTGACCTTCTGATCCTCGGGAATGTCCTGGAACTCAAAGAATTGTTCCACTCTCGAGAACCAAACAGTTGGATCGTTACCCGAGAAGGATGGGAACTCGAGACGAGCGAGTTTCGCGCCAAAGAATGGCTGTTTACCCCGGTCATCATGATTCGTGTGATAGGAGCCCCCGTTGACGGACTTGTCGCCTTCCTCCGATATTGGCGGCGCGTTCTTGGCCGCGGTGGCTTGCGCGAGCTGTGTCATGGCGAGGTTGAGGGCGGCGAGCTGATCCTGGATAGCTTGGAAATTTTGTTGGTTGATGGTTTCGACGGTTTCGAGAGCCTCGATCCGCTGCGCGTGGGTGCCCATGCCGGGCTCTGATACCAGATGATAAGGGCTGAAGTTATACGAATGTAATGATCCACTTTCTTGGCGGGATTGAGCCAGTTCACTCTTTTCTTGGCGAGAGATAACCAGAGGGGATTTCTTTGCTAAACAATGCTTCCTTATTCCATTAACATTCCAGCTTTTAAGCTGTTCAACCCATAACAAAGAAGACTAAAAATCAGGACTCTAACTTCACATCCCACCTATCGTGGAAGTGCTTATTCTTCTAACCAACATTCAAACGTTCAACAACTAAAAGTAACAATAATGATAACAAATCCTATTCTACTGGCAAGCAGCTGCAACGGGTCCAACCTTGTGGACTACTCACGTGTGTAACGTGGATTTGGGTGATGGGCTCGGGCCGAACGTCGTGGGCCTGGCTCGGTGATGATTGGTGGTTCATCACAAACCTAACTGTTTTAACGGTCAGACAGTTCCTACGTTACAGGCAGACAAGGTCAAGTTCAAGTATCATTGGTCCTCTGCTCTTCATTACATTGACACTCCTGACAAACTCTGTATTTACAGCTACAATAGTAAGCAATTAACCGGAACCGAATCGAACCATTTCGTTTCGACCGAATCGATCGATTTTAATTGGGGTGGTTTTTTTTGGGAAACAGGGGACTGCAATGATGAGAATGGAGAGAAGGGGAGGTGTGTTGATGGGGCTATCCAGAATTACACTACCCAGCTGCTTACTTACAAATGTGGTGTGATCAGTCCTCCAAATCTGACTGTAAAAAGAATTTACTTCCTTTTTTACTGAATTCATTTTAATTTACTGCTGCATTGTAATATGATTCTGTGGGGTGGTTTTGTAATGACATCAGATAACCTGACAGAAGCCCCTTCTCTTCCTTTCCCATCTCATGGGAGATATCCACCAGGTAACAAAAAAATCCACTCTTTTCACCTTCTTACTGCTTGATTTTATGTTTGTTTCATTATGGGTTAGTATTATTTGTGGGTTTTTGTTTTCCTCTGCAGCCGCTTCATGTTGGATTTCACTTCAGATAAAGGAGGCAACACCATTAACATTCATTGGTACAAAACGAAGACTGTTCTCCACCATGTGAGTTCCCTTGCAGCAACGTTTCGATTTGAGCCCTAAGCTTGATTAATGTGCTAATGATGCCTGCCTGGATCAATGCTAAATTTGCAGGCATGGGATGACAACATAATAGAGACAGCTGAAGAACAGTTCTACAACTCCAATGTGGAGGACTTTATTGGTACACGATTCTGTAGCCGCTTTAAGAGGCGGCTTTTTTCACAACAAGAACATGGCAAGAAATAGAAAGTGTACGGTCATCAAAGAATCGGTATAGCAAATATTCGATTTCACAGAATCTAATTAATTTCAACAAAACCCCTATGATCAAATAGTTGAGTAGTTCACCTACTAAACCAAGAAAGAGCAATCCGCAGCAGATGGGAAGCAGTTTCACGGCGGGTAGGGCTCCCTGAGACAACATCACGACTTGGGGAGGATCCGAGTTGAACTGAAGAAGAAGCAGATGGGAAGCTGCTGCTGATTGCGAGGCTCGTCTCGATTTCTTATTGATTAGTTAGAGGCAGAATAGGCGGGTTCCGTTGAGGAACTTGCTGAATGCTCTGGTGCTGTGAGGGCGGTAGGTAAGTGCGAAGAAGAGAAGAAGCAGGCGAGTGACGGCCACAGACTGCGGCATTGTGCTTGGGAATTGGATCGACAAATCACGGGCTCGTGATGGGCCAGTTTTTTTTTTTTTTAAATTTCAGTAGCGGGTCTTGTACTCTTGTTAGCCCATTATGTGATATTTTGTAGCCCATTATGAGTTTATGACTTTGCTATTACGTAAGTGATAAATAAGATAGTTAGTAAATACTCCGTTTAATACTCATAATGTACCTGTACGTACTTTATTCGTTTAAAACATTTGTAATCGTATTATTGTCAAGTCGTTTCATTTTTTCTCGTTCATTTGATGGCTCCCGTACTAAACACGTATAAAACTCGTATAACACGTTTATGATCCGTATTTTAATAATGAAATTGTTAACTTTACTATTATTTATATATTTATTTATTTTTAAAATAATTAATTTTATATATTTATGACTATTAACGTACTATTAAATGTAACTTTAGCTTAGAGATGAAGTATAATATCCGTACGTAATTTTTACGTAACTTTCCTGTATCGTATTGTACTAACTATGAATCAGATTAATTTTATATATTAATTACTTGTCAAATTAATACTATCATTAGTGTAATTACCTTGCTCTTAATTTCCCTCTTTTAGTTCATATTGGTGACTACATCACATTATTGGTGTGGTATATTCGGTAATCCCGATTATGTCTCATCGATAGACTTTTATCTCTTTAGATAGAGATTTCTAGCACCATAGTCGTGCATTATTGGTTGGTCATTTTCAGGTGCTCATATGGTATGAAAGCAATTGAAGGAAGTTTCATCAATCTATCAGGTGATAGTTTAGTCTTATTCGTTTATACAAATTTATGAGAATAATTAAGCTTTCTCTGTCGAAGATTGCTAATGTCCCTTTATTTTCTTTGTTGTGGATTTTTGTTGCAACTCGATACCGATCATCCAGCATACTCCGTTGAAGGAAACTACACTCGCCGGCGGAACTATCGTGGAGATGTTGGGTTTGTGTTTTTGTTTTATTTCTCCGTCAGTGTCGTGTCTTTGCTCCTCGGAGCGCTTCTTCAGAGCGGCCCAAGTAGTGGCTTAACAGGCTCTTTCATCGTAGTCTGGTTGCATACGGACTAACGTATTTATTTTGAGTCAGTCTTGTAATCGTGTCGAGTTTTTGTCTCATGCCCTTTGGGCTTGCCTTGAAAAAAAAACTATTAATCAGAGTTCTCCAGGAGGGAAAGAGATTCTTCTCAAATCGGTCGTTCAAGCTATTAGAGTTAGGCCCGCCCGTTGGCCGGATGAATGGCATCATTAGTATAAAAGTTAGTAGTAATTATATGAATCATTTATGTGTTCCATAACCAATTGTTTATATGAATTCAAAACTCCAAATAATATTGATGCAGTTATAACATAACAAAATAGTATGTTACTGTCAAATCAAGTTTTGATAAGAATTATCATCATACTAATATAAACCAATCAAAGTTATGAAAAAAAAAGCAAACATAGTTGTTGGTTTCCTGTTATGGTAAAAGAAAACTATACAGCATACCTAGATCTAAGGTGGTGATCTCAACACTTTTTTTTTTGGGATATGCAATATAAGTGATCCCTTGTAAAAATAAAGTCATAAATCAGAGGAATTTTATAATGTTCTAAAAGACTAAAACATGAAAAAATTTAGTTTTTGATTTTATAATACAAATGGAAATTGTACTTTGTACTTATATATTTATTATAATTTTTTTATGGTACATACTGAACTTGTACATTTAATGTTAGGGTACAAGTGTAATTTATATCATGAAACATAAATACTTTAAAGTATAGCAGGGCTCCATAAAACATGATTCACTAGTAAGTACGATATGACTTAAGGGGTCGTTTGCTATGTAAATTTGCATTAAGGCGTTAGCCAGCTGGTTTATAGAACCATAGAGCTTATGCAAGAAAATGAACCTCGATGATGATATGAACCTCGATGATGTGACTTAGTAGTCATCTTGTTTCTGGTAATTACTTTTTCAAATTCGAAGTCTATATGGTCTAATAATGTGGTTGGACATTTGTACATTATCATGGACCCCTACCGCTCCAACTCCCAGCACCGAGGCCAAAAATTCCTGATCTTCACAGACAATATTCTTACTGAAACAGACAGCTGATTTGGCCAAGTTCACCCGTTGGCCACTCAACTCCTCATACTCATTTAGGACCTCGATCAAATTTTCACACTCCCGGAGAGTACCTCGCAGAAATAAATACGAGTCATTTGCAAAGAACAAGTGCGAGGTCCGCGGAGCACGAGGAGCCACTTTAACTCTCTCCAATCTTTTGTCCGAAATAGCCTTACGAAGGAGCGTCGCGAAACCCTCAGTGCAAAGCACGAACAAAAGAGGAGAGAGAGAGTCCCTTGCCTTAACCCCCGAGAAAGAGTAAAATATCCTGAAGGAGTCCCATTCATAAGAACAGAAGAACCACAAATTTAACCATGCATATATATGAATTGAAGAACCACAAGAAAAAAGACGAGTTGGCTAGTTATCTCCTCGAGTTGGATATATACGCAGAGAGGAGAAGCCATACAAGAAAATGTCATGGGATCATATAAGTCATTGAAGACCTGGTCATTTATTAACGTAGCTTTGATTGGTTAATCATATACTTTTATACTTATTATTAAAGTAATAAAGTCGTTACTGTTGCATTAGAGGTTGGTTAAAGTGACAAGTAGCTTTAATTTTTGATGGTAACAGCCACCTCTAAATGAAACACGTGGCTGTTATAAAAAAAAATTCAAGGGCTTGATTTTGTTTGATACGTGAACATGGACTAAATCTTGTTGAGTATTTCAAGTTTGAGATTAAATCAGGAGGATTGCTCTATCAACGCTGTCATTTTAGGTAACAGGCTGATCTCCAGGGAAGTTGCCTTTCTTGTGTGCAACGGCTAGTTGGCTCTCGCTATAAAGCACTGCGACCGGCTCTGTGTGGAGATACTTTTGGCAAAAAGCTTAAGAGCGGTAAAGGGCTGAAGCTAGGAAATTGCAAAAGGGGTTTGACTAACTCAGGGGTATAGGATCTGAGTATGTCAAGGCAGATCAGATCAAGGTTGATCTGGGTTCGTTGATTTCTTTATCTTTGCAATTTCTGTTTTGTGATCTTATTTTTGCTTTTTGATTGATATAAACTAAGAAATAAATAAAGATCTCCCAGACCATATTCTGGGACGTGGAAGTAAACCATTGCACTTGGGCGAACCACGTTAAAAATATCGAGTGTCACTTTACTTTTCAGTTCTGGGTTTGTGTTTCAAATCATTTCTTTGAAAGGTTGTTCTTCCTCTGTGTTTCAATCTGCTGAGTTCGAGTGCTCTGCTATTTACAAAGAAGGAATCGAGTTTGAATTCCTTGATCTGCAGAGACTGGCCTTTAAGGTTGTCTTTTATATTGTAACTTGGGCTGGTGTACGTGTAGAAATTAGAACGTGGGCTAGGAATACGTTGGGCCCAGTTATAAAGCGAAGGAACGATCCGTGTCAAAGACACTCGTCGTCTTCACTCGCTTCTCTCCCAAACTGGTCCCAATTCAGTTCCTCTGAACCATAAAATCGCGTCCCCTCTGTATCGAGTTCAATTGGTATCAGAGCTGCTCCTTGAAGAAGCTTATTACTGCCAAGGTCAACGATCCCATGGCTTCGAGCTCTTTTGGTCATGCTGCGCTAAATCATCCTCCCTTGTTCACCGGTTCAAACTATACCGCGTGGAAAAAGAGGATGAAACAGTTCATGTGGGGAATTGACGAAGATTTGTGGTTAGTTGTTCAAGATGGTCCAATTGAGATGAAAGATGAAGAGCAAATGTACTGGTCGGCGGCTCAGAAAAAGAGCGCCCAATTAAACCAAAGAGCGATGCATGTCTTGCAGTCGGCAATGAGTCCCGATGAAGCCGACCAAGTGGAGAACTGTGCTACAGCTCAAGAGATCTGGGTAACCCTGGAAAGCACTTATGAAGGTACGTCCAACATTCGAGAATCTCGTATAGACCTTCTTGTTCATGAATATGAGGCTTTCAATATGAATAAAAACGAAGGGATTCATGAAATGTACTCTAGGTTTACTGTGTTAATTAACAAGTTAAAGGGTATGGGAAAAACGTTTCAAACCAAGGATATTAATAGAAAAATTCTCAGATCTCTACCTAGAGAGTGGTTACCTAAAAGAACAGCTATTGAAGAGGCTAAAAACTTAACCACTCTTCCCACTAGCGAACTGATAGGGTCTCTCTTAAGCCATGAAAACGTTCTAAAACAAGTTGGCCAAGAAGATGATAAGAGGAATAGGAATTTAGCATTCAAAACTAG